AGGGAACATATCTGTTAAGTAGGATATGAGGACCACAGGTCAAGACGGCGGAGAGAAATGGTAAAAGATGCTGAGGAAACCTCTTCTCCCATACTTCACAAGATATTGGAAAGCTTCAGCGACTGTCTTAAAAAACAAGAAACAGCAGAGTTGGGAGACAAGCCTAGATACTAGAAAAACAACTCCTGGGGAAGAACTTGCAACTGTTTTAAAATTACAAGTGGAAAAAAAATCAAATAAACATCCATCAGCTTCTGGGAAGATGGCAGATTCTACTTGCCTAACAAGATTTTCTGCTTTCTTGGAGGAAAACCTTATTTCATTTATAGAACCATTAGAGAGTCCATATTTAAAGGGTTTAATAAAACATATATAGACTGCCTTGCCCTGCAAAAACTATTATTCTCCTGGGTAGAGAAAGTGACTGACTGTGGGCATTAATGGCCTCCTCCTGTGGTTTCTGACATTATACCCCACTCTTATTTGTGTTTTTCCAACCCAAAGTGCTATTGTTTTTCATTATAACCCTGCACTTGAGTTCATAGTTCCTATGAAGCATGGATGTGTGTTATATTTTATTTATTTTTATTTATAGGGATCTCAATAACACTTGTTGTTGTGTCTGTGTGTATAGTGTGTGTGCGTATCATGTTTATAAAAGCATTTGCATACCATTTTTGTATATGAGAAAGATCCTGTATATGGCAAACACCATTAAAATGGAATAAGTAAATTTTATATGAAATTGTTTTATCCTTGCCAAATATTAATTATATTCATAATCTGCGTTTTTACATACAGAAGGTAGCCTTGCTGGTGTAATGGCAGCTGTCAGTTAAAAGATAAACCTGAAGTCATCAAGCGCCAGTAGGGGCTTTGAGTGTATTCCTCAAAGGGGAGAGGTAGAGAATTCTGATCACATTACCGTGTAATCCATAAAAGTGGAACATTGGCTTTGCAGATGTTTTCTGATGGATCTGGATAAAGATGTTCTAGTACACTCTTTGCCGGTAGTGAGTGGAAGTTATTTCTTTTTAAAATGAGAAGAATACAATAGGATTGAATGGGTGAATTTCAGATTTTTAAAAAATCTGTGGAGATTTATACAGTGTCTACAGTTTATATATATAAAATCTTTGAAAGTGGGGTCCTATTTATTGTTGATAGAGTGTGAAATTTTGAAGTGAGAGATTGATTACCCTGCTGCATATTAATTCTCCTTATTATCATGTGGTTTTTGTATTAACAAGAAGTTGAACCATTCTGTTTGTAAACTTTCTGATTCAGAGTTTCTAGTAGTTAATTTGTGAACTGGAACCAGTGTTTTATGTATTATAAAAGCAAAACTTACCTGCTTATTACAGGATAATGGATAAAATGTACCCATTTTGTTCTCTAGACATGTATACTGTCATGCTGTCTGAAATGGCTCATGACTGAGCGTGCCAATCTCAGGGCAGACTCTCTAAAAGCAGAGCAGATACCCCAAACTTGTATGTTCTGTAATTAGAGTTCACCACCCAGTAACAAATGTGAGCGCCCAAAATACTAAAATAGTCTTTTATAATGGAGTTACAGACAGTCCCCTTAGACACTCCAGTCTATCTGGCCACCCTGGCAAGCTGAACTGTGTGATAAATGGTCATTTACACCATAAATCACAAAATATTCAGGTTGCTTCCAGTTCCAAGAGGCCAGTCACTTACCCCAGGTCAGGTTGTATCTTACATCTCATACCAAAGACAAAGCCTGTAGCCCATCCTGTAATAAACTAGCTAAAGGTTATTAGCTGGGGAAAAGAAATGAGAGTTATTACAGGTTAAGGCAAGCAGGCGTATATACACAAATGGGTTTGTCTGTGATCCAAAAGGTGACGTAGTTGTAGTAATCTGTCAGTTCAAAGTGTCTTTCGAGGTTAACCCATGCCAAGCAGCATGGGGACCTCTTTGTTTATGTTTAGGAATCTTTGACTGTCAGAATCCAGACAGCATAAAAGGGATTCAGTTTCTCCTTATCAGAGATTTTTATGCCCTCCACTTTGGAGCCTAAACCTGATGGGATGAGTTCATGTGTAGGTCTTACCTTCCTGGGGGGAGTTAGGGATTGGTCCAGGTTCTAGAGGGAGCAGTTTGCACAGCCTGAAGCAAAGGACTGAGACAGCCTACAGTGAGTGGAGTTGAAGGGGGGCAGAGGACTGACAAAAAATTTGACTATGAAAAGCATAATCCTTATTACAGAGTTGAACTGTGAATTTAAAAATCTTTGAATATATGAAATCAGGTGGCTGTACTGCAGAATTGTTAAGAAAAATACTAGTGATCATTCAGCAGTAAGAGAAATAGTTATTTCTGTCCATTGAACCAGATCTACTTAATCCCCATTCATGTCAAATGTGTGTTGCTATTCTGGTGTCTTGAGAGGTGTGTTATGTATCATCAGACAAAACGATCAGATGAAGGAATGGATTTCTGGGTGTCTTGCTCCCTAGGCTGATAAAATTCAGACTGGGGATTGGTGAGAGAAGGGGAAGTGATGATAACCAATGGCATAATTGCCCCCTAGCCAATCAATCTACAAGAGCTGTGTTCACTCCATACTTTTTTTGGTTTTAGATTTAATACACATTTTCATTAAGCTTAGAGAGCATGTAAAGCAAGCAAACTATTTGCTTACAAAGGGGCTAACCTGTGCTAGGTACAGCAGGCTTCCTCAGCCAATATGGCCTTATTGCTCCTAAAAGCAGAGGCTGTTGTTAAATGGTATGTCCATACTTTTTATTTCTAACTTTTTGTCAAGTCTATTTGAGATAATTTAAAAGTATTAAAAACTAGCGCTTTTAGGATCCAGAAGATGTCAGCATCTGACTCAGATAATGAAAATGAACATGCGTTCACTGCGTCCGCACTGCTTTGGATTGTTATCAAGCAGAACCCATCATCAGCATGGTCGCATGTCCCCTGGAAGGGTGGTTGAAGCATGAAGGGACATATGAATCTTTAGCGCATCTGGCATGTAAATATCTTGTGACGCTGGCTACAATGGTGCCATGCGAACACCTGTTCTCACTTTCAGGTGAGATTGTAAACAAGAAGCGGGCAGCATTATCTCCTGCAAATGTAGAAACAAACTTGTTTGTCTTTGTGATTGGCTGAACAAGAAGTAGGACTGAGTGGACTTGCAGGCTTCAAAATTTTACATTGTTTTATTTTTGAATGGAGGGTTTTTTGTACATAATTCTACATTTGTAAGTTCAACTTTCATGATAAAGAGATTGCACTGCAGTACTTGTATTAGGTAAATTGAAAAATACTGTTTCTTTTGTTTTTTTACGGTGGAAATACTTGTAATAAAAAATAAATAGAAAGTGAGCACTGTATACTTTGTATTCTGTGTTGTAAGTGAAATCAATATATTTGAAATTGTAGAAAACAACCAAAAATATTTAAATAATGGTATTCTATTATTGTTTAACAATGCAATTAATCGTGATTAATTTTTTAATTGCTTGATAGCCCTAGTAGAAATATATGAAAAAATGTGGTTTTGAGCCTTTTTGTGCATTTCATATGCCTTCGCTAAATAAAATTTACTTATACTGAATTGCATCCACTCTGTTTATTACTTTAAGAATCCATCAGTACAACACCTGTCACAAGGTATTTCATTTCTTTTTTGAGAATTGCAGGGCGTAAGTATATAGAGCTGCAGCAGTGGAAAGCATAAATGTTTGAATTTAGAAATGCAGTTGCTTACATTGAATTGCACAAATTTCCACAGTGTCAAGTTACAACTAATATTGACAAATACTGAATAACATGCATTTTATAAAGTTGTGATTGGTATTTTTATTGTGTATTTTATTGGGGACATGTTTAGTATGTTTTAGAGCCTTTTGAAAAATTAGGTGACCGAATATTCACTATG